TTCTTTGCTCCAGTGCTGGTATTTTCTTGCAAAAGCAAGCCGCTGACGGCACATTCGGTCCATGGGAAGTAGTTTTCGTACAGCTTGATGGGAAGGTAGATGAAGTTCCTTCTGAAGGCAATGTTGAATGGTTTGTTCTGATATGTTAGCAGGAGGATGGGGGTGTGCTTTCTTCAATTGTGATGCACTCACATTAGGATCTCTCATTATCTCTAGCCTCAGTAGTGAATCAGTGCATTTGAAGGTCTTCCTGGTCATGATTTCCTTGGTGGAATAACGTTGGCGGGAAGGTTGCGTGTAGATCGCTTGAGTCTCTTAATTGTTGTCATTCCTCGTCCTGTTCTCCTTGAAATTTCTTTCACAGTGGTTTTTTCCTCAAGCAGGGCAAGGATCCAACCATTCTCTGTTTCAGAAATGATTTTGGGAACCATAAATATAGTTTTGAAAACAAAATTTGGGCTAATTGTGGATGTCTTAATTTGCACTCATTTGTTTGGTGAGCGAAAATTAACTTGCAAGTGGAGCACTGGCCAAATTTCTTCTACTTCTAGTCGCACGGGAAACACTGTAGAGTTGCCAGGTGTTATATATTCCCGCCTTGACAAATTTGGCGGGCTGCTTTTAGCGCGGTGAAAGCATGTATATAAACACAGCTAATTATGTAGAGGGGATCGATATTTTTTGCGGTAATGGTACAGTGGTCCCTCGATTAACGAACAATAATAACGTCAAACATAAAGACAGTCCCATATGAAGCAGTGGAGTCTCGATCATTTGCAGGTTAAGCACGAGAAGACATCGTGAATTATCAAATCGCGAATTATAGTTTTAACTGATTTAATAAGTTTAGTTCCAAAGGTTAAAATATACCCTTAAACTATTCCAAAACTGCTTTAGTAAACAATAAACATCATAAATATTATATAAAAATATATTGTGACATTATTGTACAAAAAGTAATTGTACTGTAGTTCTACACTCTTATTACATAACCAGCTCTCTCCTTATAATTTTGTGTGGGTTATGCCAATACTACCACATCAACCTTTAGACAGCAGGTGCTGGGCTGGCTGTGACTGCCCTATGTCATCAAAGAACCAGGAATCTAATATTTCACAATAACTAACTATTTTATTTATGTTTTATTAACCCGGTACCAAATGAACCGAAGTAATGTGGTAATTTTGGTGAAATTGCGTATGTTAGAGTAAGGATACCGGGGCAGGGGTAGTAATAGGGTTACCTGCGAACTAATTTGTATTTCACGGATTATCGCGACTCCACTGTAAAACGGAAATATATATTGTACTCAAAATCCACTTGATACTTGGAAACTTAGTTGTTAGTGGTAGATTATTTAATATGGAGTAAATGTGAAGGGGTTCTAGTGCTTAGTTATTCTGTATTTTTGCATTTGCCAAAAATTAACCAAAACTGCATTAATAAACAATAAAAATGATACAGTACATGACACATCATAAAATACAATAGCATAATGTATATTTTATGTACAATAAACATCTCCTTCCGCTCTCAAACCACCCCTCTGAGTGACACCTACAGTGGGCAACCATTCAGACAGAGACGTGTGTGTGTCTGCTGCGCTGTGACATCACATTTTGGGGTTGGTGGCTGGGCTAGTGACAGAGGCAACAAACCATACAGGCATTATAATAGAAAATAATTATTTTTTATTGAGTTTAAATTTAACTTGACAATCAGTGAATCAGTGACAGAGGATAAAGTAACCTAATATCAGTGGTGCTTGTGAGGTGAACATGTTTAAAGTGAAATAGGCCTGACTAGCTAGTCAGGTGCACCATTGACAAACCACCCACTGCCTCCATACATACAGTACTTTTTCTTCTCACATATACACACCCATGCTCTTTGTTTTTCTGATTTGATTTAAAAGTTTTATATTACAGTATTTTTTCTTTATTTCTAAGTCACATTAGACTGTGGAAATTATTTTTCCATATACTGTATTTTATAGTTTCATTACATAAAACAATGGCAACATTTGTAGCCATCTCACAGCTGATTGGTGATTTGTGTTATGGGGAGTTGTACTATTACATGGATCACTCACTCCTACAGTGATTTAATTGCATATACAGTGTGTACATACTGTGTGTATGGTACATTATCAACACTATCCAGGCAAAAACACAGGTTACTAATACAAATAAGTTAGTATGGTTTTCATCCAAAGGAATAGAATGGGATGTTGATTGTAAAATATGATACAAATTTATATTCTTAATCTTTGACAACCTTCAGTTTTACTAGTACAGTATTCCTGTAATGTACAGATTTTTTCTATTGCATGTAAAGGCTTAATTTTTAGCAGTGTTGACTAAAGCAACAAGCTGTACAGTGGTCCGTCGGTTAACGAGCGCCTCGGTTAACGAGTTACCTCCCATAAGATTCTTAAATTCGGTTAACGAGCAACCCCTCGGTTAACGAGTTTCTTATGAGCCGACCTCAACAAGTTTTGGCTTGCACTGGGCGGTCAACCAGCTGTAGTATTAGTCCGCCAATACATTAATCGGTTCTAGGGCTTAAATTCCTTACTATTTTAGTAAATATCAAGAAGTTTATACTATTCAATAATTTTAAAAGTTTAATATTAAATTTTTCAGTCATTTTAACAATTATTGAACATAATTGAAGGTAAAGTGACTAGTTTAATGCGCGGCATCCAGCAAACAGGCGTTAGTCTCTTTGTTTTCACTGGAGGTAACATCTTGCTTCAGACTCTCTTCAACTAAATGCTTCTTTTCTGTGTTTCCAAGCAAATTATTGGTCATTTTGAAATTTATTTTACATATTGACAATATATAGCGCAGTGCAGTGTTATTTTAAAGAAAATATTCTTTATTTACAACAAGTTTAACTTTAAAAAGCACGTGTTGACATTGTTTGAATCCAGCATGGGGCCTAAGAGATCAAGAAAAGCGATTTCAATCCAAACCAAGCAGGAAATCATAAAAAAACATGAACAAGGCATTAGAACAAATGCGCTATGCAAAGAATGTGGCATGTCGACATTAACTGTGTCGACAATTCTTGCACAGAAAGACAAATTTAAAGAAATGAAAATGAGAGACAAATCTACAAGAGTGTTTAAAAGTAGATCCCTAATTGCAGAAACTGAGAGGTTACTTATCATCTGGATTAGGGAAAACAGATGAAAGTTGATTCAGTTTCTACTTAATTCATTTGTGAAAGAGCCAGCGAGATTTATGAACATATAAAGACAGATCAACCTGGTTCTTCAGGCTGGTTCGAAAAATTTAAGAAAAGAAGTGACATTTTTAGTGTTGTTAGGCATGGTGAAGCCGCTAGTGCTGATAAGGAAGGGGCAGCAAAATTTTAGATGAATTTAAAAAACTGATGGAAGAAGAAAATTATCTTCCACAGCAAGTGTTCAATGTGGACGAAACTGGGCTGTTCTGGAAAAAGATGCCCAAAAGAACATTCATCACCAGAGATGAAGCCTCTTTACCTGGGCATAAACCCATGAAAGACCGTCTCACTCTATTGCTTGGTGCCAATGCTTCAGGGGATTTCCGACTGAAGCCGATGCTTGTCTACCACTCTGAAAACCCCAGGGTGTTCAAGCAACAGAAAGTGGTAAGAACAAAGCTTGGAGTTTATTGGAAGTCCAACCGTAAGGCATGGGTGACAAGACAGCTCTTTAATGAATAGGCTGTTGATGTGTTTTGCCCTTCTGTCAAGAGCTACCTAACCACCAATAAACTCACTTTAAAGGCTCTTCTCATGGATAATGCTCCTGGTCATGACCCTGACCTTGCCAGAAATTTGGAGTATCAATTTGACTTTGTGAAAGTGTTGTTTTTGCCTCCAAACACTACATCAATCATACAGCCAATGGACCAGAATGTGATCAGCAACTTCAAGAAGTTGTACATGAAGAAAATGTTTAGGAGGTGTCATCAGGCAACTTCCAATGATCCTGAACTAACACTGAAATATTTCTGGAAGACACAATTCAACATCCTGGAGGCTGTAAAATTTATTGTGTCATCATGGCAAGAAGTCTCCACTAGATCCCTCAATTCTTCATGGAAAGCACTGTGGCCATCAGTAGTCCATGATTTTGAGGGATTTGAGGAAGAAACAGAGTTGGACCAGGAGATTGTGTCCATTGGTCAGTCATTGGGCCTTGAAGTGGAGGAGGAGGATGTGGAAGAGCTTGTGATGTCTCATGAGGAGGAACTTGCTCCTGATGACTTGAAGCAACTGGATGAGATGTTACAGGTAGAAGCTGACAGTGGTGAGGAGGAAATTGAAAGTGATGACCATATGTCAGCTAAACAGTTGAAAGATGTGATTTACCACTGGGAGAAGTTCAGGGAACTGGCTTCAAAGCACCCAGAAGTGGAAAAAACTGAACTAACTTTGTGTCATGTTAAGGACTCAGTGGTCTCCTTCTTTAAACATAAGTTAATGGTGAGGAGGACAGATGCCCCACAGACCACAATTGACACTTTCTTCAGTAAAAGGCAGAGGGAACAAGATGCTATCCCTCAGCCTTCCACTTCAAGAAGGAGAGAGGATGTTCATGGTGAAGAATTTGTCAGTCCAGAGGTTCCTGACATTTTCATGGAAGGTGACTCATCTTCCAAGAAGCAGTAAAATGCTTCTCCTCCACCTCCACTTCCTTCTCTTCTCCCTTCTCCTCCTCCACCTCCCACTTCAAATTCACATCATCATCATCATCCAGGAGCCTTCTACATACACACCTCAAAGTAAGTGAACTTTTCTACCTTTTTTGTTGAATTTAGGCAATTTTCGGTGAGCTGGAACCAATTACCCAAAAACCCATTGAAACAATGGTTTCGGTTAACGAGCAACCTGCTGGAACGGATTGTGCTCGTTAACCGAGGGACCACTGTACTGTTACTACTGTTTCCATAAAGGCAAAGAAACAATACAGTGTTATAGCATTAATTGTCTTTATTTTCTTTCAGGAAGAGATCTATCTACAACGTGTTGCAGAGCTTGATGAAATATCACGTCAAAGAGATGAACAACGGAAATACCATGAAGACCTAAGAAAACAACGTCTGAATGAGTTCATGGCAGGTTTCACCATTATATCCAACAAACTAAAGGAAATGTACCAGATGATAACCTTGGGTGGAGATGCTGAACTAGAATTGGTTGATTCCCTTGACCCATTCAGTGAAGGTATTGTTTTCAGGTAAGAATGGAGAAGTTTGTACTCGTCCTGGGTACAGTATAGTATAGTGTACTCTTAAAATCCAAATATCTACATAAAATAAGCCAATTATATTAAATCAAGTAATTAATGCAGGAAAAGGCTTCTTCTGGCTTGTGAAGGATTACACTGGAAGGTTTATAACCCTTAAGGCTATTAAGTATTATAACCCCAGTCTCCCTTTACTTGCTTTACTATTTTGCTGGTCATTCGTTGACCTTTCTGTCTAGTAAATAATGCTTCCTTCCAAAGAAGAGATTTATATGGGCTTTTGTTATGACAGTACAGCATTGTATATGGAATTGGAACAATATAGAGACAGAATTACCATAGGCTTTATGCTAAGATGATACTCAAAAGAGTTTCCAGTCTTTAAAAGACCTCCCCTCGTGATTATTCCTCAATCTGTAGAGTAGATAAAACCACCTATGGAAAATTGGACCTAAAGGTGAGTGCTCATATTAGGCATAGAGTTTCTTTGTTCCATAATGTAGGAAAGTATCTGGCCTGCTGAGGTGGTTATGAAAGTTTGAAGTGAAAGATGATATTATTTTCTCCACTTATACTCTGGCTTTGCAAATTAATGGGTGTTGCTTACAGGAGAGATGCTGTACTCTGAACATGTTTGAAGATACAGCTGTTGATGTGAAACTTAAACTGTAGGTTTCTTGCTGTACTTTAATTAATAGAGTAACCAATGATATTTCCCAAATTCAAAATCTAATAAAGGTTTTCCAGTCTTATACAAATATTTGATTTAATTATTATTGTTTTATCTTTTCCAGTGTCCGTCCTCCAAAGAAATCGTGGAAAAATATTACTAACTTATCTGGTGGTGAAAAGACTTTGTCATCTTTGGCACTTGTATTTGCCCTCCATTACTTCAAGCCAACGCCTCTCTATGTCATGGACGAAATTGATGCTGCGCTCGACTTCAAAAACGTATCAATTGTTGGCAATTATATTAAGGTAATGATACATTTTATTTATTTTTTATATTGTCTGTAATTAAGAATGCAAGTTGTATATTTAAAATTGGCTTAGGTAATTAAATTTATTTTTTGTTAGAAGAAAACAAAAGAACTTAGGACTTCCTACTACAGTACATACAACAGAACTTCAATTGATGAAGATACTGTACATGAACTGCCAAAGATATTTTTTACACTGTTAAGCCTTTACCAAATTGTAATCTGAGTGGCTAGAGTCAAGACTTTTAATATTTGTATTATTATGGTGATGATGAGCTTTTAGGTACTTTTAACACTTTTGCACTTACAGGTGTAGAAATGTGATTCTTGTCCTCACACAAATGGGTTGTACCATATACAGTACTCAACTTGTACTGCTGGCTCTGACAACTGCTGCATATCTCATCAAAAATCAATGTCTTTTCAGCTGTTATAATCTTTCATCCTCTCTCTCTCTCTCTTATTTTTTAAGTAGTACATGTAGTAGACATACTGGCCTTGGGAGCCAGGGGTGCACCAATTATAAATTAAGATGTACAGAAAATTATATTTTTTCTGTAAAGTATTCAGTAAATGAGTGCCTAATTAATAATACTGTAAAGATAATAATAATGATAATAATAATCGAGTCCATGTATTATGCCATTATATTTATGTATGTTGTGGATGAAGGAAAAAGAAGAGTTATATGTACAGTATGTGAAACAAATAAGGAATTTTGTACTGTAAGTGAAAATGATAAGGCTTATATGCCATATATCTAATAATAATAATAATAGCTGGACTTAATTTCTCAAAAATGTCAGTTCTTATAAAGAATTCATTAGTGCACAAAACACTACAAAGTCAAAGACTTGTGAGTAAAATGAAATACTGTAATACAATAAAAATAATAGAGGTTATGTTTTAGAAAGGATGGGCTTTTGACAGTGATGATGGGGAAGGGTCACATAATCAGATAGGTTGTAAAAATGAAATTGGGGGACTTATAGAATGATGTGATTATGTCTATAATACCTTCATGACAAGAATGTTAAGTGTGGGGTGTGGAGGTAAAAAATTGGATTGAAGGTAGTGAGTTAGTGACCCATATAATGTAGATGGGAAAGGATTTGTTGGTACAGAAAGGAACAGTAGGAGATGAATGGAATCATAGAGTAGCAGAGGGAAAGAATGTGATCGGTGTGTTAACAGGTGTGTGAAGAGTGAAAAATTATGCCAAAGAAAGCAAAACTGGGAATTCATGGTGGAATTGTTGGTGCTGTCGTGGCCCTACAAATTTGAAGCATGAGATCAAATTACAGGATGAAGAAGTGATGCAGAAATGATAGAAAAGACATACTTGAGAGCAGTGTGTGGAGTTAATAGGGGAAAAGAAAATACAATACAGTTGAACCTCGATTTACGCGGTTCGCGTTTAGTCATTTACGCGGTACTATGCCAGAACCGGGATGCCCGATTTACGCGGTAAATTTGGTCATTTACGCGGGTGAAGTATAATTTTTTTATTTACTGAAGATATTTGTTTTAGCTCATAAAATTCATACAAATTACCCGGCCAGAATATAATTTACATTGCTGGAATTCTTACAATATAATGATCATTTTAAATATAAACTTCATGGATTTTGCATTAGACATACAAATTTTAGATCTAATGTAAGAATTTTGTTTACAAAGAGCAATTATTTTATCTTGTGCAAAATATATGACGTGTATATTCAAAATATTCCTGGTCTTGCAAGGAATCCAGCAATGTCAATTATATTATCCCAGCTTTAGTCTGAGGTATTATTTATTACTATTCCTTAAAATCTAGTGTTTTCACCCAAACATTTCTCAGAGAGGGAGGAGCCAGCGAGCGTGGGAAGAGGGGGGGGGGGGAGTTGAGTCCATTATTTGAATGGACATTAACCTGGCGACTGAATTTCTCTTAAATATTAATTGTGTGTGCATACCATCATAAAATTAAGATCTTATTTTTACTACAACGTAGGTATTGTGTCGGAAAAAGTGGAGTTTGGGAGTCGGCCCGGTCTCTATTTCAATTAATCCCATATGTTCTGTTATTCCATTTATGCGTTTCTCGTTTTACGCGCTACTCCGCGGGTTCAATTGACCGCGTAAATCGGGGCATTACTGTAATTAGAAATAGATTAGAGAGTGGGAAGTACAGTAAAGGATTGGTAAGAATGCCCTTAGTGGTATAATCATGGGTAGAAGATTGAGGGATGTGGGAGAAAGGAAGTACAGTACTAGAAGTGAATGAAATGGATATCTTAAAAAGCAGTGGAGCATATGAATGATACAACAGCATGGTGTCAAGTAGTGTTGAGATGTCACAGTACAGTAGTTAAGATGGAATGAATGTAGGGGAGTGTTTTTGTTCTTGAATCTGAACATTGAGCAGCATATTTGTTGAGGGCTTCTAAGAATAAAGAAATTTTTGGTTTTGGTCTGGATAGTGAACACTGAACAATATACAGTAGTACCCCGATTTACGCGGTCAATTGAACCCACAGGGTACCGCGGAAAGTGAAAACCGCGTAAAGTGAACAACAGAACATATGGAATTAATTCCAATAGAGACTGGCCCGACCCCCAAACTCCACTTTTTCCGACACAATACCTATGTTGTAGTAAAAATAATATCTAAATTTTATGATGGTATGCTCACACGATTAATATTTAAGAGGAATACAGTCTCCAGGTTAATGTCCATTCAAATAATGGACTCAAATCCCCCTTCTTCCCAGCTCACTAGCTCCTACCTCTCTGATTAATGTTTGGGTGAAAACTCTGATTTTAACGTTTATTAATAAATAATACCTCAGACTGAAGTTAGGATAATATAATTGACATTTCTGGATTCCTTGCAGGCCAGGGAATATTTTGAATGTAAACTTCATATATTTTGCACAAAAGATAAAATATTTGCTTTGTGTAAACCAAATTATTACTTTAGATCTAAAATTTGTATGTCTAATGCAAAATCCATGATGTTTATATTCAAAATGATCATCATATTGTAAGAATTCCAGCAATGTAAATTATATTCTGGCCGGGTAATTTGTATGAATTTTATGAGCTAAAACAAATATCTTCAGTTAATAAAAAAAAAATATTCTTCACGACACTATCTGTCAATCAAAGTACCCCACCTTGCCTCCCCCTCTTCCAACCACGTGGTCAGTCCCAACCCTCCCCCACCCCCCACCAACCCTCCCTTCAAGAGAAAGAGTGGGTGAAAATACTAGATTTTAACATTTAATATTAAATAATACCTCAGATTAAAGTTAGGATAATATAATTGACATTGCTGGATTCCTTGTAAGACCAGGAATATTTTGAATATAAATATCATATATTTTGCACAAAAGATAACATATTTACTCAGAGTAAACATTATATCTAAAAATTTTATGTCTAATGCAAAATATATGATGTTTATATTCAAAATGATCATCAAATTGTAAGAATTCCAGCAATGTAAATTATATTCTGGCCAGGTAATTTGTATGAATTTTATGAGCTAAAATAAAAATCTTCAGTTAAAAAAAAAATATTCTTCACACGGTAACAGATGGTCGGTCGCCGGTCCCTCCCTCCCCCCCACCCCCCACCAACCGTCCCTACAAGATAAATGTGTGGGAATACCAGACTGTTTACCTTTTTAGTAATAAATAATAAATCAGACTAAAGTTAGGATAATATAATTGACATTGCTGGATTCCTTGTAAGACCAGGAATATTTTGAATATAAATGTCATATATTTTGCACAAAAGATAACATATTTACTCAGAGTAAACATTATATCTAAAATTTGTATGTTTAATGCAAAATCTATGATGTTTATATTCAAAATGATCATCAAATTGTAAGAATTCCAGCAATGTAAATTATATTCTGGCCGGATAATTTGTATGAATTTTATGAGCTAAATAAAAAAAATTATACTTCACCCGGGTAAAGGGGTACACCCACCGCGGAATGTGAGCATCCTGGGTTCTGGCAGGGCACCGCGTAAACGTGGAAACGCGGAATGTGGGACCGCGTAAAGTGAGGGTTGACTGTATATGGGGTTTTTACAAAAGGGAAATAACAATAGAAATAATTTTTTGGTGCATTAAGAAGGAATGTATGACAAAGTGAAGGAAGTGTCTGAATTTGCTCTTGATTCTGCCCACCAGCATTATAACAGGAAATGGCTTGAAGGAAAGGGAAGATATATAATGCACCTATTCCATGTCATTTAAGTAGAAATAGAATAAGTTGCAGAATCCTAATTAGACAACAGTTGTAAAATTGTTTTTGTAGTTAGTAATATACAGTACGTATTGATATATATCCCATACTAATGTTTTGTTTTGTTTTTCATGCAGGAACGTACAAAGAATGCCCAGTTCATTATCATCTCATTGCGGTCTCAAATGTTTGAACTGGCAGACAGACTAGTGGGTATCTACAAGACATATAATGCCACAAAATCAGTAACCATCAACCCAGCGAAGATTGTTCTAAACAACAGTGCACAGACCAGTGACAAAGCAAATGCTACCATGAACCAGACTTTAACAGCACCTCCAATTTTAGCAGAGAGTAGAGTATAATGGAAAAGGAAAAATATAAAAGGAAATTAGTTTACCTATACTTGAATATATGAAAATATATATACTGTATATGTTTTGTGAAATGTAAGAAAAACTTGTCACATTCAGTTGTTACACACTGCAGTATGTATGTTAGTCATGTATTTGCAGTGTTGTACGCGTCAATGAAAAAAGTGGCGCCACCAGCGTAAACAGTCGAGAAATTTGATGCCGTCAGCGTCGGCGTAAACAATTTCATAAATTGACGCCGTTAGCGTCAGAGTCAACACCTAGCTTCAACGAGTTTTGAGTGACATACAAATGCGGCCCCGAAATGCGTATTCTCCTGTATATGGGAGTAACATGCAAAATCAAAAAATATTCATTCATTTTTAATCATTTATTATGATTTATATTATATATCATTTTAATTATTCATTTGTTCCCTTGCAAGAATACTAGCATCTCAAAATGCTTGTCGCTCATTCTACTGCCTTGGGCCTCAAGACGTCCTTGCCCATGGGGAACATGCGCTCCACGGCAGCACTAGAGGGGATGGGGGTGTTGTATTTGATAAACAACTCCCTTATGGCCTTGTTGGGGAAGGTGTCCTTGTCGAAACTTTTTTCGAAGGTCACTGTCTTTTTCATTCCTGCGGGGGGTCTCGTACAGGACCTGGAACAATTTGTCCTCCACGTCATGGTCTTTGTCGTCTCCCTCACTGCTGCTGCTGCTCTCAGTCTCGGGCACGGACTTCTCCACCAGGCCCTTTTCCTGACGAACAAATTGACGCTCCACTCAGGTGAAAAGTTGACTGCGTCACCTGCACAAAAAATTGATGGCGTCAGCGTTAACAAAAAGTTGCCGTCGTCCATTGACGGCGTTAAAATAACTCCGCCAACGTACAACACTGTGTATTTGGTAGAAAGTGTAAATGAAACCCAGGTTGGATGGAGACTATACTGTAAAAACAAATTTTCATTGGTTGAAAAGTATAGACTTTGTTGAGTGCCTTGGAATAATTTCCATTTGCTCTGTTATAATGGCATTTTAGTATAGATTTAAGCTACAAAATTATTGCATACAATACTTGTGAACTTTAAGAAATGCGATTATAGATGATACATTTTTTTGCAAGACTGTGAAGTATGGTGAGTTGCCATTAGTTTTTGCAAAATATGGTTTTAGTATATTTTAATTTTTTCTTCTTGGTTTCTTTTCTGTAACACTACACACTTGAATGAACAGGCTGACTTTTCAGATACTGTTTACTTATGTACATTCAGGGTCAAAAGTTCATGTGAAGCAGTGAAACTGTGTCATACAAACTTGTATACCCTGTATGTGTCAGAATGAACACTTCAACTCCTGTTGTCTCATCCGTTGTGTCATATTGTCTAGCATAAAATCTTGCAGATACTTTTTGGAGCGAGTGTACCTGATAATTTCACAATCCAATAAATAACTTAAGTACCATTTGTGAGACAGTTTTGGAGACATACATTTCCAGGAACTTTACTTGATAAAAGAGAAAAGGTTTTATTGACATTGTACATAAAATTATATTGATTGCATTTTACTTTTTTCATGATAGTAAAGGAATATATGGAAGTATCAAATACAGTTTTAAGAATTTTCATTTCCATATTCTTTATTTGGGGTTTTTAATGTCTATTATCTTATTGCATAAGGAAGAACATTTTATAAGCATTTTAGCATACTAGGCATTCTAAAGGTTAAGTACAGGTATTTTCATTTGTTTGAATGTTCTTTGTAATGCAAGTAAATATAAGTGAATCATTTAATACAGGTGTACCCCGATAAACGATGCACATAGGGACCAGGAAAAGTCGTTGATTAGTGAATCAATGGTCATCGAAGCAATTAATCCCGTAGGAACATAATAAATTCAGGGGGTTTGGGACCAGCCACCCGCTGAAAACTCCCATCTACCCTTAATATACCTTTGCCTTGGACACTGTCAAGCAAGAAAATAAACCAAATGGTCTAGGGTGGCCAGTTCAAGTCTTAACTATCACAGGGTCATTTAGGCATGATTAACACAGGTCGGAAATAATGAAAAAACACGAAGTCAGAAACACATAGTAAGTGTAAACAAGAGCAAAGATAACAGGAATGGTTCAGAGCAGTGCACAGAGCCCGCTGGTGGCAAGAATTCACACCATGCCACTGCCCGCCATATTCAAAACGGCTCTGCCGGTCCTCTCCCGATCGTGGATCTCCGGGGTACACCTTACTTAGATTTTTTTATGTAATTCATGCATGGTCTGCAGTCTTTATTCTTGCAAATTTTAATGTTTTTATGCTTTATATCGTAGGGCTAATTTTTGCCAGAGTTTAACAAATTGAACATACAATTTTCTTCCATATGAATTGTAAGAAGTTAGAATCCATAATGAAGGTTTTTAGATCACAGTACATTTGTTGTTTGAATACCCTGTGATATATGGTGTAATGCAGTCGTTCCCAAACTTTTCAACTTTGCGGACTAGCGGAGAGTGAAAAAAAATCTGGACTGGTAATTGTAAATATTTTATGCTTATAATATACTGTACAAGTACATACTCCATATACAGTAGATCCTTGGCATTTTGTGAGAATGGAACCAACAATTACAGGGAAAATTCGTTTTGCGATATGTCATTCTGCAATGAGGTACGGGACCTGAGACTCAGAATATACACCTAAAGTGCATTTAAGACGTTTATTTCAGTAAACATTGGTAACAGCTCAGCAGTGAAGCTCCACTGCAATATGTTCAGGCACATACAGTATATTCTTATCTCCTAATAATCTGTATATAGCATCATAGGTGTTTATAGTTTTAACAAAATAATAAGTTAAGATAAAGTAGAGGAAACCAAAACATTCTACCCCCATGACTGACTTACTGAAAACTGAATCATCATCCGCCAGGCCACCCAGGAGTCCACTGACAATTGTTACTTTAAATATGAACTCAATTTTACCAATAACTGAGCACAGTATTAGTATTATTAATAATAACATAGTTTAAGAATATTATGTTTTACTAAGAATTATAAATAAAGTAAGCATTGGTAAAAAAAATCAGACTGTCCAATCAATCTTAAGCCACCAGTCTGTGGACCATAAATTGGGAACCACTGCTGCAACAGTCATTATTGGAGCTGGTTGGTCTTCTTCATTTAAAACATATCTTCCCATTTTATTGCTTGGCACAAATCCTAACACATTTTCTGCACCAATATCCCTTGACATTTAGTAGATTGACTTATACAGCTCCTGTCACTACCTGAGCAGTAGTTTTCCTTGTGCTACTTTAAATTTTACTGTTTAAATTCTTGTTGTCTCGATATCCACAGGGTCTGCATGTACAGTGAGAGAATGAAGTACAGTACATCACATCTGGTGCTTATCACCACCAAACTAAGTGATACGTATACTGTACTGTACTTACCGGGTATTCATACCAGCATCTCACATTCATGTACATTTGTACTTCCAGCTAACCAAGCTGAAGGGTGAGGTGAGCTTATATGATGGCCTAGCATATATTTTTTTCATCTGTTAATCTTTAACTGTCCATTCATAACCATATCTTTGTTGAAAATTTGCTGACAAATAACACTCAAAATCAAATAGATGTGAAAATTATTTGGACATCCCACCAGTGCTGATTAAAATTTTCTAAAAGTAATAGATAATTGAAAAAATACACTTTATGTGAAACATAATTAAGAGAATAAATATTGCATATGAAATAATATTTTAAAAAACTAATTAATACAGTATTTGGAAACTTGTGAGACTTTCTTGGCATAAGGATAAGGGGGGGGGGGTAGAAAATATGGAATAATACAGGTACTGAAGTCCAAGGTGGTTCCATCATCGCAAGATGAGCTTCTGTGACGTGTCTTCACAAAGGGTATTAAGTCAAAATTAACTAAATTCTTATACTTGTTTAAAACTAATTTCTGGACCAATTGTTGTAAAAATGATACAGTATTCATGTACATGAGTTTTAGTATTACAGATAGTTTTTTATTTATGAAATGGTTATGTTCCTGAGAAGCCTTTTTTAAATTCATTTCTTACTAATCATATCCCATTTTCCCCTAAACTTTCATTATAAAAACTGAGCTACAGTACATTTACATGTTTTAATAAAAAAAATTGGGTGTACTGTATACAGTGGCATTTTCTATGGACCTAACTTATTGTTCAGTTTCACTGTGTTCTGTATGCTAAAATGGAAGGACACACCAGAACTAAGGGGGGTGGACATTCAAGATATAGAAAAGTGCTTGAATGTAAGGAGATTTTTGTGGATGTCATGCTAGGTTATTTAATTTAATTTATTACACTCCAGGGGACAACAAGCCTAGTCACAAGACATGCGGTCAGACACTATACAGTGGTACTCTTGTCTTGCAGGACACGCTATGGCTTGTGATATGGAGACATCGATATGAGTTGAAGACAGTGGGATTTAGCACCCATCAAAGCATGGGTAGAGTACAAAAATTATATCTTGATTATTATGTATAAGTAGGTGGTGACATACAGAGGTTAGGGACTCTTCCTGTGGTAGGAGGTCCCTTTGGGACATTTACAAAGTTTACAAGAAGATAAGTGCAGATCATCCTCAACCTCAGATACTTGCCAAATAGGTCTGTATCCTAACCTAATACGAGCCGAGACAACATTATGTCTGCGGACCAAAAGTCCACGTCAACAATACTTGCATGGATACAGAAAAAAAGTGATCATAATGTTGGATATACTCTCAGCCCGTTCACTATCTTTCCGATGGATTATAGGGAGAAGAGTGGCTGAATGTATTCTCTCTCAGTAGAAGAGGAGGGAGGGTGTAGCCCCAGCACCAGGGAGGGCCAGTCCGCAGGCATTCTTCGCGAGACAGTGAACAGTGTCATTGTTACTCCAACATGAGATGAAACCCACAAAAATGTATGAAAAGAGAATTATCATGGACTAATTAAAGGGAGGCATAATATAGGCTTAGAGGAGGAGAGGGCAGATTGAGAATCAAATGATTATACCGTTAAATCTCCTCTGAAGGTGATCAACTGCATCCACAAGTCCATGTAATTCACTGTAGGTTGAGCTCAACCAGTTTAGAAGTCTAGGGCCATCCCAACCTCCTGCCGTTGGGTCCACATCCAGTGAGAAGAGAGCACACCCTGCACTCCTGTCTGCCTGTAGAGAACCGTCGTTGTATAGATGGTGTACGGCAGGGACAGAGGTAGAGACTGTATGGTCTCCAGAGCTAATTGTGTCTGAAGTAGAAGAGGGTCTGCCTTTGTGGTGTGAGTAAAGGTGACTGCTGGACAGGGAATCCACCAGGGTGGAGGACCGTGATCAACCTCTGCTACTAGCACATCAATATCGAGGTTCTGAAGCATAGAACAAATTATTTTAATGAGGGTGAGACCACCTGGCCGAAGTAGAGGCCGAGGTGAATTTGGGTCAAGTGAGGTTCTAATGACATGAGAATAATGGGGGGAAGGTGGGGATAATGAAGACATTTGACATTGAAGTACAGACATCCCCGCGTTACGGAAGGGTTGCGTCCCTGGAAAATTGACCGTAACGCGAAACCTATTTTCTCATTGACTTACATTATAAAACTGGAGATGCGTTCCTAAGGATTTTTTTTGGCCCCCAAAAAGTAATTCAAGCACTTTTACGAATGAAAATAAACATTTATAAACACATACAATACAGTCCATAAAATAATTTATGATATACATGTAATATGAAGAGAAATACTGTACAGATGGAGTAAATAAAAATATTGTACTGTACTCACCACAAAAGATGTTGACTGCTGTATGAGGATAGGTGGTGCAAAGGGAGTTATTGGGAGGGAGAGGGAGAGGCATACTCTCTTCTGCCCTGCCCTGTAAATCATCATCTGCTTTAGGCTTGTTCCCACTGTTGAAGTAGCAAGACCTAATGTTTTTGCAATCTGGCTAAGTTTCCTCCAGCATCAAACCTTCTTAAAACTTCAAGTTTAATATCCAATGTAATGCCTTTGCGGCTTCTTTTTGCACTATGTGGTCCCTTCCACTTGATGGCTTCTTTCCAGTATCTTAAATAAGGGTAATGCACTGTACTGTACTTACTGTATGTTTGTAAAGTTAAATCCAACTGCTGAGGGCGAGAAACATGCACGCACACTGGATGTAAACAATGGAGTGACTCCGCGTGGTGACGCCACGCTTGGCAGTAGCAAACACCAAGAAATCCACACCAAGCAAATTATAATTAAAAAAATATATATATATTTTATATAGTGATTTTTTTTTTATCATTATTATTTTTTTATTTACCCCAATTTCCGTAAGGGCGGATTTACGGGCCGTATCGTGAAATTATTGATCATAATTTACAAATTCCGTAAGAGTGAAATTCCGCAACCCGGGGTTCCGTAACGCGCGGGGATGCCTGCGGTAGACATTAGCATATTTTCTCTCAACAAGGAAAGGGAGATTGAGTTCAGTTTGCATGTTGACTAAACTGGTGGAGGAGGGACAACCCAGGATAAATCTCATGACTTTATTTTGAAAATTTTCAAGGGGATCTAGGGATTTTTTGGGGAGTTGACAGAGGGCAGGAGAAAGGTAGTCGACAACAGATTGGATAAACATGATGTAAACAGTTCTGGCTACAGGTATAGAAATCCCAGCATCATTGTTGGTGAGCCACATGAAAGGGGTTAGATGCTGTAGCAGTCGTTCTATGAGGTCCCGGACGATGGATTGGACGTGTCGTACAAGTGTAGCTGGATTAATCCATATAAGTGCACCCAGGTAGATGTACTACATTCACGGAAGGATAACACAATCTCCCACAATTAATTCTGGAAGTGTCCCCGGGTTATGAGGAGAGAAGACCCTACTCTTGTCTGGGGAGAGGATAAGACCAATAGCAGTAGGCGACGCTGAGGAGGTGTTGAAGATCCTCCGGCTACTCAGAGTGAATGCAGACATCATCTGCGTAACAGGTAACTGTGGTACCGTGAATATCAGGAAGAAGAGAAAGTAGACAATGCATAAGGAATTAAAAAGAAAGGGGCTAAGAACACCACCCTGTGGAGTACTGAGATTGAAGTCTTTGGTAGAGCTACATGCCTTCTTAAAGAAGACACGGGAGGTTCTCTTCCGGAGGTATCCACGAATCCATCTTAAGAAATTACCTTTAACGCTGAAGTCTACTAACTCATCTAAGATAATATCTATTTGTAACCTCAAAGGCACTTTTAAGGTCGATGAAGGCGACGACACTGTCATGCTAGGTTGTGTGAAATGACTCAAAAGCCATATTGATATTTAGGCCTATGTATACATGTGAAAGGGGATTACTGTTTCAAAGCAGAACACATTTATTACAATAGTAATAGTATGGATGAAGAG